AGTTTGCATCTCTTAAGAGCAAGAACATTTTCCTACATAAATAAAATTACCACAGTCAGGAAATTAGACATTAATACAATATTATCTGTTATATACCCTTATTCAAATATCTCCAGTTGTTCTTTATAGCTGTTTTTTATTGATGCCATATGTGATCAATTCTGTGTACTCAATAGTTATCATGTCCCTTTATTCTCCTTTTATTTATAATAATCCCACAGTCTTTAAAAAAATTTTTTTTGTGACATTGATATTTTGAGGAGTTTAGGCCAGTGGTTTTGAAGAAAGTCCCTGACTTTGGATTTATCTGATAGTTTTCTCTTGTGTAGATTCTGAACACATTTGGGGGCAGGGAGATGACCCAGGGGGTACTGTACCTTCTCAGAGTATCACATCTGAGGCACATGATGTCAGGTGTCTCATTGTTGGAGGTGTTCATGCTGATCACTTGATTAAGATGGTGTCTCCCAGGGGTGCCTGGGTGACTCAGTCGGTTAAGCGTCCAATTTCGGCTCAGGTCATGATCTTGTGGTCCGTGAATTTGAGCCCCGCATCAGGCTCTGTGCTAACAACTCAGAGCCTGGAGCCTGCATCAGATTCTGTGACTCCCTCTCTCTCTGCCCCTCCCCAGCTCATGCTCTGTCTCTCTGTGTGTCTCAAAAAATAAATAAAAGTTAAAAAAAAAATTTTTTTTAAGATAGTGTCTCCCAGATTTCTCTATTGTCAGAGTACCTTTCCTCTTCATGATAAGTAATCTGTGGGGTGATATTTTAGGACTGTGAATGTTCTGTCCCCTAATAATCTTTCACTTACTGATGTTAGCATCAGTTTTACACCTATACTGTGATGGAGAGGTTATTTACCACTTGCAGATTAGAAAGACAAAGCTCAAAAGAGGAGATGGGTCTTGTTTGCTGGCCATCCCACCGTGACCATGCCATATGAGAATCTCCTGGATTATATCATACTGGTTCATCTTTTATAAACCGCTCATTCTTTGCCACCTCCCCACCCACCCCTTACCCCTACCCCCACCCCTGATACATGCAGGCAGACATCTGTTTTAGGAATCAGTAGTTTCTATTCATATCTTCAGTTTCTGTTTCAGACTGAATTCCCTAAAAGCAGAGCCTGAGATGCAGATTCTTGTGTTGTGATTTATTGAGACAGGGTTTCAGGAGCAGCCTGTGAAGGAGTGAGGGGTGCAGTCTGGGACGAGCAGGAAACCAGGCAAAGATATGGGGGTAGCTGGAGTCTAGCCTCAGCCTGATCCCACAGGGAGTTCTGCAACATGAATAGCAACCCCAGAGTTGTCCCGCCTACAGGCAAGAAGGCCATTCCTCTATGACCTGCATCAGCATGTCAGTAGCAGAGCGTCTCTCCCTGAGGAGGAAGTGACTTTCTGGGTATGCCCAGAAGAAGGGAGAAAGCTGTGAGCTTTCGGCAGCCAGTGCTCATGGCAGCAGGGACATGGGTACCTGGTCTTGTAAAGGGGGACTGGGCAGGACACCAACAGCGTGCAGTGCAGATTCAACATTTCCCACATTAGTTCTTCCCTAAATGTTGTCTCTGATAAAAGCTAATGTCTTTTTTTCTTTCTTTCTTTTAATCTCTCTTATTTTTTTAAGTTTATTTTTATTTTGAGAGAGAAAGAGAGCAGGGGAGGGGCAGAGAGAACATTCCAAGCAGGCTCTGTGCTGTCAATGTAGAACCCCACGTGGGGCTTGAACCCATGAACCGTAAGATGAAATCAGGAGTTGGACACTTAACCAACTGAGCCACCCAGGCGCCCCTCTTTCAACCTGTTTTATAATAATATACTATAAATCTCAAAAGGCTGTTAAAGAAAAGTGTTAGCTTAGTCATAGGCAAAGACAAGATCTAATTAATGGTTGCTCCTTTATGAAGCCCCATGAATCTTATTCACTGTCTTCCTGACTGGGCCCTAGATTTTTAGGCTGAGGTTGGTTGTCAAAACAAAGACTCTTTAGCTTATTGAACAGCTGAGGTATCACAGGATGTGCCCTTCTAAGGAAGATAGAAGCACCAACATATTTACTCACAGCACATGTGAGCGTTAGGATTGCCGTGCTAGAGACTGTAGAAATTTGCTCTTGGTAAAATATTGCCAACCCGAGATGGCAGGGATGTAGGGTTTATTTGGGTTTGGAGAATTCTTTCAGTGGCATGTTACCACCCTCCTCCAAACCCCAGTCCCCCCTCCCCCAAAAACCCACCCCACCTAATTGGATCTGGGTTCAAGTGCACATTTTGCTCTTAGGTCTCAAGCAAGTGTTCCTCAGACTGCAGCATCAGTGTCTCCTGGAACTTGTTAGAAATGCAGAGCTCCAGCCCCCAAGCTACAGAATCAGACCCTCTGGGGCTGGAACCAGGAATCTGTAGCTTTACAAACCCTAGGAGATTTCTCTCTTAGGCTCCAGTGCCAATCCAATGCTGTGGTTGTAAACTTGCCTGCAAGTTGGGTTTGCCTGGGGAAATTTTTTAAATTGTGATTCCTGGGTCCCACCCCAAAAGGTCTGATTTATTTGATCTGGGGTGCAGTCTGGCCATCAAAACATGTTGAAGCTCCCCAGGCGATTTTAATAGTCAGCCAGCGTTGAGAATCTCTGCTCTAAAGTGGCCTCATTTACCTCATGTGAAAGGAATTTTAACACCAGCTTCATTTTGAAGAGGGTGTTCTTATAGCTGCAAAGATTCACTTCAAAATACCTGGAGGCCCTGAAATGGCATTTGCAGAATGGGAAATTGCTCTTTTTTGGCCCATACTCTCCCATCTGGAAAGTTGTAGCAAAGGTATAGGAAAACTTTCTGGGGAAACAAAATGTAAATCTTGAATGGAAGTATGATATTCTTTAGATCTGTACAAAGTCAAGAATGTGCAGAGAAGACATTAGGATGGCAGTCTCTGGCCAGCCCACACGCTGTCCTTGTGGGTATGTTACTGAGCCTGCTCACCCCAAAATGATTGCCTTAGGTTGGCTTCTTCTATATTCAATCCTGCCTCTTAGGAGTGGTATGCCCAAAAAAGCACATTTTTTAAAACATTTTTTCACTCTTGCCTACAATGTGGCTTTATCTCCATCATTCGCAATGTTGAAGACTTCATTCAGGCCACACATTTAGGTTTCTTGGGGTTTAGATGTTTGAAGACCATTTGAACCCCAACCTGAATTTGGCCCTTCAAATGTGAGTGATCAGCTCTGATATTTTCTACTGGCCACTCCTAGACTGGTGTTGATGACCAGCTCATTGAGAGGCAGGGCGTGATAGAGGGAAAGAGAGCCCAGAGCCAAGCACCCTTGGATTGGAATTTCTACCTTCTCACTCTCAGAGGCATATCCTTGCCTTGTACAACTTACTCAAGCTGTCTGGGCTTCCCTGTCCCCTTTATTTAAAAACACTGGATCCCTGGTACCTGCCTTTTGGGGCTGTTTTACAGGAAATGAGAGAATTTTTATAAAGGGATGGCAGACAGTAGAAACCACATAGATAAAGCTCTCCTGTGTTCATGATCTTACTTGTTACCTGCAAAGTTGGAGGAACACCAGACCTCTTGAATTTCTGGCTCTGCCATTTCATGGCAGTTTATAACTCTGGACAGCCCAATACTTTCTTGGATGGGCCTCTGTTTTCTCATTCATAACATGGGGATTAAACACTCAGTCACAGGATTAGTGTTGGGGCTCAAGGCAACTATGGAAATCAATATGACATCTTTTTATTGAGATTTCATTCACATATCATACTTTAAAGTGTATAATTCAGTGGTTTTCAGCATATTCACAAAGTTGTACAGCCATCCATACATCTTGGTCCAGAACATTTTCTTTACTTCAAAAAGAAACTCCATACCTATTAGCAATCACTACCCATCCCATCCCTGCCCCCAATCCCAGGCAACAATAATCTTTCCGTTTCTCTATTTTTGTCTAGTCTAGATATTTTGTATAAATGGAATCGTACCGTATTTGTGTCTAGCTTCTTTCACTTAGCATGAAGTCTTCACAGTTCATTCCATTTTGGAGCGCGGATCAGTACTCCATTCATAAAAAAGAATGAATATTATGGCTGAATAAAGTTCCATTGTATGGATATACCACATTTTATTTCTCCATTCATTAGTTGATGGAAATTTGGTCCATTTCCACTTTATGGCAATTATGAATAATGTTAGTATGAATAATTTTATGAATAGCACAGCATTCGTCAACTGTGAAGTTTTATTACAAATAATATTAGTAATAAAAATGCCTAGATGTGTGAAAAGAAATGAAATCCAATTCATTCGGGTGGAAAATGAGTGTGCATGAGTGAGTGTGAATGTTTTATCTTTGCTTTTAAATTTTTTTAATGTTTATTTATTTTTGAGAGAGAGAGAGAGAGAGCGCACAAACAGGGGAGGGGCAGAGAGAGAGGGAGACACAGAATTCAAAGCAGGCTCCAGGCTCCAAGGTGTCAGCACAGAGCCCAATGAGGGACTCAAACTCACAAACCATGAGATCATGATCTGAACCAAAGTTGGATGCTTAATCAACTGAGCTGCCCAGGCACCCCATTTTTGTCTGTGCTTTTAGAGCATGTCATGCTTGTGCTTATGATAAATCTTTTGGGGCTTTAGGACCTCATGCTACCATATGAAATTTAGCATTGAGGGTTCTGTGCTCAAATTGTGAAATGGTTTATGCCAGAAGACAGACCCAACAGCATTCAGGATGTTTAGAAGCTTTTGAAAACTGTGTTAGAAATAGAAGGTCTGTTGGATCTGTTGAGTATTCTGTTTGATACTGTAGATACAGAGTGAAAGCTAATATGGCATCTGCCCTCAGAAAGCTTTCAGGCTGGAAGGAAGACACGTGAGGTGGAGATGAAAAGATGGGGTATGTGCGGCGACAGGCGTAGCCTAGAGACTGCACAATGGTCTCCTTGGCAGAGAGACAGGGCAGCAGCCATTTGACACCTGCCAATTCTCTTTCTCCTAGCATGGTAAGACACAAGGACGATGGCTATTCTGAAGAAAAGGATGTGAAGACTTGTCCCTGGGACTCTGGCTATGACAGCCTCTCCAACAGACTCAGCATTTTGGACCGGCTTCTCCACACCCACCCAATATGGCTGCAGCTGAGTCTGAGTGAGGAGGGGGCAGCCGAAGTCCTTCGGTCCCAACCTCCAGGGGTAAGACTCAGAATCTCAAGGAAACAGTTTGAGACAAGGAGGGCTGCTGCTTTCTTAAAGAGAAAGACTTGGAGTTCCAGAAAGTTCTTTCCCAGGCTTTATGGAGCATGGTGTCTGGTGCATACCTGGGTTGCAATGCAAGGAGATTGTGGAAAGTATGGAGGCAGCTCCAAGGAAAAGAGCCCCTTCATGGTTTGTCTTTCTGTCTTCATCAGCTCAGTTACCCAGGGAGGTCTAGGACTCAGCAGGATAACAGGGCATCTGGGCTGACTTCTTGGGCCTCAACACTGAGAATGAGCCTGGTTATAGGGTCTTCAGTTGCCCCTGCTGTTTTCATTCTGAGCCTGGGAACCCTGCCAGGACCTAGCCATCCAACTTGGGACCCAAAGTTCAAAAGTTCTGTGTCCGTAGACTTGCCTACTCTGGCTGCTGATGTGTAATTCTCTTTCTCTTTGGGCTTCCTCAGTGGCTTCTCATGGGGCTCACTGTCCAATTATGTTTCTTCTGCTACTTCCTACCCAATACCAATCTCTTAATCAAGACCACTCCATGACTCTATAGTGGTTCCCCCCAAAATGTCACTTGGTGATTGGTGTATCTGGTGCTGTTCAATGTGGTTGCCACTTGCCCTGTGTGGCTGTTTAACTTTACATTAATAAAATTAAATTAAATTTAAAAACTCAGTTGCTCAGTTGCACTAGCCACATTTTAAGTGCTCACTAGCCACAGATGGCTGGAGGCTACCATATAAGATGGTGCAGAATATAGGATGTTTCCACCATCACAGAGATTATATTGGAGGTCACCTGTGTACAATGTCTACTTCCCAAAAAAGGGTAAATACAATAAGTCACAGATAAAGTAAGACTTGGAACAACTCATGACAAGAGATAGAAACTAAGAAATATATGGAGAAGCAAGAAGAAGAAACTCCATGGTAGCTGGTTGACAATATTGTAGCAATTGAGCACAAAAACAAACTTTTGAGTTTCCTATCAGCAAGAGCCTGTCTGTTACCATTTTTTGACCTCTAAGTGAGTCTTTGTTTCAACAGACAGAAACAGACGGGACTGTTGGAACATGCTCAGGGTGACTAGGCGCAATAGTTGATCATCTTTGTGGAAAATTCCTTGGCCAGCACACCAGGTTGTTGCCTGTAATCTGGGTCTGTATGATCAGACCTACGTCTGTGGGGCCCCCTCTTTTGGAGGTTGAGTTGTCTGCTCCTGCATTTCTGCACAGAAATTCTGGAGAGGGAGGTTGCCCTGTTGTTAGGCAACAATTCCCTACTCTGCCCAGCTTCCCTCCCAGTGTTGGGCACGTCCATTCCTGCTGAGACTTTGTGGGGAACAAGTCAGGCAGGATGTTCTATCTGTCCACCTACTTGATCCCTGGACAGGACCTGCCTGATGAGATGGGGCAGGCTGATGACAGGCTGAGGACAGGAGAAACACAGATTAGGAGAGGCCACAGTGCACCAGGAGCAAGAATGCTGAAGAGAAGGAAAAGCAGGTGTGAGAGGAAAGGACATTTGAAAGTCTGTCCATGGAGGCATGGGTCCTTGGGGTGCTGCCACCCTTATTCCTATGATAGAAATTAGCAAAGTTTCTGTAAAGGGCCAGAGTATAAATATTTTTGGCTTTGTGGGCCATACTGTCTGTCACAACCTCTCACAATCTCTCGCAACCCCTGCCTTGTAGTGCAGACACGCCCATCGACAGCATATAAATGAATGACTGGGATTTTGTTTCAATAAAACTTTATCTACAAAAACAGGTGGCAGGATAGATTGGGTCTACAGGCCAACTTTACCAACCCCTGCTCTAAAGCTGCAGACATTCAGGAAATAAGGTTGTACTCTCCCTGAACCCCAAGGCTCAGGGAGATTCCCAGCTTCACAAGAGAATAATACTTCGATTCCACCAATGAGCAGCGCCCTCCCAGCCATGCTTTGGGCTTTTTTTAATCCCCCTAATGTTTAGGAAATATCTGTTTCAGTTTTAGGGTGTCCCAGAAACATTGACTCCCAGAAGTGACTATTACATGTATTCTATTCTATGACTGCCTCCCCATGGGTGCTGGGGGACCAGAGAGAACTCAAAGGTCTTCCCAACTCCCTCCTTAAAAGACACCCAATCCCCATAGCCACCCTCTCAACCCCATCCCCCACCCCCCACCCAGATAAAGTTTCTTAGGAGCTATTGACTAGATATACAGAAGGAAGCGAAGATAAGGTTAAATAATAATAATAATAATAATAATAATAATAATAATAATAGTCAGGGAACAGAGACCATGGTGTCCAAATGCAGAGGAAGAAGTGGCTAAAGAAATAAGACAGGATAGAATCCTTGGAGAAGTACCGTGTACTACAGAAGGGAACCAGAACTCAGCCGGCTGCCCCACTGCATGCTCCAGGGAGCACTATTTGATTTGTAGCCTAGGTAATCAGTGCCCCCTGGAGTTGTGCAGTGCATAGAAGTACATGGCGTACTTGCCTCTGCAGTGTTGGAAGCCAAGATGGTGGCCCGAGATCAGCACTGGGATTTGGGCTGGTTTAAAGCACGCATCTGAAACTTTTGGTGGGAATGCTAACTGGTGCAGCCACTCTGGAAAACAGTGTGGAGGTGCTTCAAAAAATCAAAAATAGATCTACCCTATGACCCAGCAATAGCACTGCTAGGAATTTACGCAAGGGATAGAGCAGTGCTGATGTACAGGGGCACTTGTACCCCAATGTTTATAGCAGTAGTTTCAACAATGGCCAAATTATGGAAAGAGCCTAAATGTCCATCAACTGATGAATGGATAAAGAAGATGTGGCTTATATACACAATAGAATACTACTTGGCAATCAGAAAGAACGAAATCATGCCATTTGCAGCAACGTGGATGGAACTGGCAGGTATTATGCTAAGTGAAATAAGTCAGAGAAAGACATATCATGTTTTCACTCATATATGGAACTTGAGAAACTTAACAGAAAACCATGGGGGGGGGAGGAAAGGGGAAAAAATAGTTACAGAGAGGGAGGGAGGCAAACCATAAAAGACTCTTGAATACAGAGAACAAACTGAGGGTTGATGGGAGGGGGTGGAAATGGATGATGGGCATTGAGGAGGACACTTGTTGGGATGAGCACTGGGTGTTGTATGTAAGTGATGAATCACGGGAATCTACCACCAAAACCAAGAGCACACTGTACACATTGTATGTTAGCCAATTTGACAATAAATTATATTAAAAATAAATAAATAAAATAAAGCATGCATCCGAAGGCAGTATTAGAACCAGGAGCGAGACTGTCACAAAATGGGGTGAGTCAGGAGTAAACAGGCCTGCAGCTCCAGTGTTGGCTGTAGTGACGCTCGAGCACACCTTCCTGCTCCCTAATGGGGCAGCCGTTTTAATCTCCAGCAATTGTCACCATACCTGGCCTTGCCATATCATCCTGTTTTCCAAGAGAAGCTAGAAATTCTGTTTTTAATGTGAAAAACAACCAAAACTGCTTTTTCACTCTTAGAAACAAATTTAATTTTCTATCACGAACACACCCACAAGCCAAATTAGTCAGTGAACTCCCAGTTCACCACCTGTGGTTTAGTCATGTTACCTGTGTTTAGAATCTGGGTGTCATCAACCATGATGCCCAAATAAGACACGGGCTAGAGAACACTTAACATGTGCTATAAAACAATCACCAAACTGAAAATGCTTCTGTAGACCAAGGGGGCTCATAGCCTCATGGAGAAGGTTCTGTCAAAGGGAAAGTAGGATTCTTTTGAAGCCAGTTATCAAAGGAAGTCATCTGGGACATGCTCTTTGATAGTCTCTTTTGCTGTCAGTAGAGCGTTCTGGGTTGAATCTTGCAGGACATGTTCGTTATGAAGGGCATTCTAGTCATGGACATTAGGTGTGCAGGAAATCATATGTCCAGGTTCTGACCTTCCAGATATTTCCTAAGCTTGAATTTCTTTTCCCTCTGCTAGATCTTCCTGGTTCGTAAATCTACCAAAATGCAGAAGAAAGTCCTCTCACTTCGCCTGCCCTGTGAATTTGGAGCCCCACTCAAGGAATTTGCCATAAAGGAAAGCACATACAGTGAGTAGTCACCTGATGGCTAAGTCCTGGTTGATGGGAGGGCCTCAGGTCTCCCCAACAAGTGGAAGTGGAAGGAGATTACCCTTTGAGACAGACAGTCATGAGTCTGCATCCTGGTGCTGTTACTTACTCACTCGATGACTGGGCAGGTAGCCTACCTTAGGAGCCTTGGTTTTCTTATCAGTATATTGGGGTGATCATAACATCAGAGAGCTATTAACAGTTTAATTAAACAGCCTATGTACAAATTATGCAGCCTACTGGTTGGCATATGGCAGGTTGTCTTTCTTGGCCCCCTTCCAGTTAAGTAGAGCATGGATTTGATTCCTAGGTTTGCTGATGATTAACCTGTAGGACAGGCTGCAGCGATTCGGCCTTTTTATGGGTTCTCATGCTACAGCACGTGTCTGCACATCTTGTGAATAATCCTTGAGTGGATGTGTTCCCTCCAGATGATCACTGTTCAGTCGTCTATGAAATGCAGCTAATCAGAGGCAGAATCCAGCCCTCTGAAAAAATCAACTGGCAGAAGTTTTGAAGGGAGAGTGGTGTTCAATAGAATTGGTTTTCTTTTTGCTATTCTGCAATCATTGAAAATGTGAAGTCTTGGGAAGACACGTTTCACTTTATTTATTTATTTATTTATTTATTTATTTATTTAATCCTGAGAAAGAGAGAAAGCACAAGTCAGGAGGGGGTGGGTAGTGGCAGAGAGACAGAGGGAGAAAGAGAGAATTCCAAGCAGGCTTCACACTGTTGGCACAGAGCCTGACACAGGGCTTGAACCCATAAACTGTGAGATCATGACCTGAGCTGAAGTCAGACACTTAACCAACTGAGCCACCCAGGTGCCCCTGGACACATTTTAAATATAAAAGGGATGGGGCGCCTGGGTGGCGCAGTCGGTTAAGCGTCCGACTTCAGCCAGGTCACGATCTCGCGGTCCGGGAGTTCGAGCCCCGCGTCAGGCTCTGGGCTGATGGCTCGGAGCCTGGAGCCTGTTTCCGATTCTGTGTCTCCCTCTCTGCCCCTCCCCCCGTTCATGCTCTGTCTCTCTCTGTCCCAAAAATAAATAAACGTTGAAAAAAAAATTTTTTTTAAATAAATATAAAAGGGAACACACAATGCTGATGTATTGCCAACTTCCAAGGAAGGATCCATAGTGAATCTGTGCTCCAAAGGGGAAGGTTTCATTGAAATCACAGGTTAGCAAGTTGAGGAGTGAAGGCCAGGAGAAATAAGTTTGGAAGCCTGTTGACTCTCTCAATAGTTAGACTGAAACTGGTTTGGGGGTGACGGGGTGGTGGTGCCTGGGTGGCTCAGTTGGTTAAGTCTCCTGACTTCGGCTCAGGTCATGATCTCACGGCTCATGGGTTCAAGCCCTGCTTCGGGCTCTGTGCTGTCAGCTCAGGCTCTGAAGCCTGCATCAGATTCTGTGTGTGTGTCTCTCTCTCTGTCCCTCTCCCACTCATTTTCTGTCTCTCTCTCAAAAATAAATAAACGTTAAGACTGAGACTAGGATTTTTGCTTGCTTCTTGATTTACACCTAAGCAAGCCTCAGTCTCTGCATTTGAAAAACCAAAGGTACTGAGGTCATTTTAAGGGCAAATAAGGGATTATACTCAACCTGGAGTTCATAGTCTCACTGAGCCAAATGGCCTTAATGGAAGTCTAGAGGACACATTTCTAGCAGAAGTGAAACCTGTCAGCCTCTTTGTGGTCAACCTCAGGTTCTTCTGTAAACCTGGGCCTGGTAATGTCTTTCCTCCAGGCTTCACAAGGGCACTGATGCCACGAAAGACTTCCACAGTCAGTGACCTGTGCATAGTTCATACCAGTTTATTTGCATTAGGAGGTAATCACAAGATAGATTTCAAGCCCTCCATTTTAAAGACGATTAAATATTAAGTAAAGATATGCCATGCTGAGGTGGCTTTTGAAAGTCAGCTTGCCAACAAGTGATAGATCTGTTTTTTTTTAATTAAAAAAAATCTTTTTTAATGTTTATTAATTTTTTTTGAGAGAGAGACAAAGCGTGAGCAGGGGAGGGGCAGAAAGAGAGGGAGACACAGAATCTGAAGCAGGCTCCAGGCTCTAAGCTGTCAGCACAGACCCTGACGCGGGGCTCAAACCCACAAACCAGGAGATCATGACCTGAGCCAAAGTTGGACACTTAACCAACTGAGCCACCCAGGGGCCCTTTAAATTTTTTTTAAGTTTATTTATTTTGAGAGAGAGAGAGAGAGAGAGTGTGTGTGTGCAAGCGAGATAGGGGCAGAGAGAGAGAGAATTCCAAGTAGGCTCTGCACTGTCAGCACACATCCCAATACAGGGCTCAAACTCATGAACCGTGAAATCATGACCTGAGCAGAAACCAAGGGTCAAACGCTTAACCAACTGAGCCACTCAGGCGCCCCAGATCTAACTGGTTTTTAAATCCCGTCTAATATCCAAAGTGAAGCATGATAAGTTAGCCTGGAAGCCCCTTCTTTGCTCCCCTACAGTAAGTACAGTTAATGTTGGGTGTTCATCTTAGATTCCTCCTGGCTGAAGATTTTTCTTCTCTACTGTGTCAAGACTCGGATCAATTCCCTATTCCTATCTGGGGGACTTAAAGTGGTTGAAAGAGCTAGTCGGAGCAAAGCATTAACCTGACTGTAACTAATTACCACAGGTCTTGGTCTCACCATGATGGCCCCTTCCTGGCCAGGGCCTTGCTTCTCTATGAATGGAGGTAAATTGAGAAAGGAAGGACTTGCTCTGAAAACATAGATATTTTGTCATAACATCTGGACAATATGGTTTAATAACAAATACCAGCTCATATTTGTATAGACTGCTTTCACATGAATTACTCCATTTTTTTAAATTTCCCTTTCCACTCCTACCCTTTGGGGAGACAGGGAAAGTACTATTATTGTCCACTGTACAGAGGAGAAAACCAAGGCTCAGAGAAGTTAACCTACCCCAAATCGGTTTCTTCCTACTTAACTTACTAAATTGTGGTGCACATGTGTGTATTTTTTTGTTTCTGTCTATGTCATGGTATGTGTGTAGAGGCATAGGTATATTTTGGGGGTGCTGTAGAAATACTAAACAATCAAAATAATACAACATAAGCAAATAGCAAGCAACATAAATGAGGACATGAAGTGTGGCAATTGGGAGAAAAACTCATCTGATTGAGGAAATGAGGAAATCTTCACAAAGCTGAGGATGTTTGGAATATTTCTGAAAGACTGTCTGAATGGCATTTCAGCCAGCCTGGCATGAGGAGTGGTTGGCAAATACACAAGTATTTGAAGTTATCCACTCACTGCCCTGCCATTTGGAAGATGTGCAGTATGGTACACCATCTTGCCAGAACATCTTCCCTAGGAGGCTTGTGCCCTTGGTGGTGACAGTGGTAGTGGGTGGGGGCGTTCTAAGTAAGTGAGTTTTTGAAACTTTCACATTGAATTTAAAAACTAATTTACTGGAACCTTCTGTTTGCCTCCAAGCTGCCTTGTGTCTTAACCAGAGATGGCCTGTTTTGGCAAAGAGGAGTGTGTCCCAGGAGGGCCAACCTAGGAAGGTCAAGGGTGGTGGGGGCTTGGGTGTTTACCAAGCTCTGTTGTGTGCCAATGGCCTCTCCCTCCAGCCTCACTGGCCCCTGCCCGCTGACCAACTTTGTGTTTGAATTTAAAAAAGAAAAAAGATAGTTGTACACTTTGAGCCTGCGCCGGTCTGTTTACCAAGCACTGGAGCACGTGCTCCCAGTGAGTCAGGGGCTGAACTTCTAGGCCGTGGACTCTACTGGCCTGTTTCTGGCTGACACACATCCTCCTCACAGCTGGATCTGATAAGCCACACGGTAGATGGTTTGAGAGGTCAGAGATGGTCCTATGCACGCAGCAGATAACACCAGAGGGCCTTTCCTTTCCCAGAACAGTGCTCCAGGACACTCAGCTGGTTTCCAAACTCTCTCTTTTCCAGCCTTTTCCCTGGAAGGCTCAGGAATCAGTTTTGCAGATTTATTCCGGCTCATTGCTTTCTACTGCATCAGCAGGTAAGGCCTCCTTTCCTCTTAGGAGTTCAAGTGCCTGCTTGGTGTGTGAAATATAAACAGCCCTGGGGTTTCTAGATTAAAGCAGGGTGGAGGGGTCTGGGAGGCTTGCCGCTGACTAGATGTCCCTGGAAGGATTAGTTACTGATCAAAATAACTACGCCAGTCCCTCCAAATTAATATGTCTGTGTCTTCAAACTGTCCCTATGGTTCGTTTCACCTCGACCCAGCAAGCAGGGGAAACAAACACACATACACATACATGTACATACATGCAAACATGCACACACAGAAAAGGACCCATGGTGCAAACCTGGTCCCTGATAATGTGTGGTGCCTGGGTGGTTCAGTCAGTTAAACATCTTTGGCTCAGGTCATGAGCTCACAGTTCATGAGTTCCAGTCTTGCATCTGGTGAGCATGAGCCCTGCATCAGGTGAACCCTGCTTCTCTCTGTCTTTCTCTCCCTCCCCCCGCCCTGACTCTGCCCCTCATGGGATTCTCTCTGTCTGTCTCCACTTGTGCCCTCTTCTCTCTCTCTCTCTCTCTGAAAAAAATAAAAATAAATAAATGTCCCTGATACTGTTTCTGAAAACCCTCAAGGGATGTAGTTCATTCTAGAAATACGGGCTCCTTAAACCAGCTCATAAACCTTGCATCACTGTCCTACAGGCCCATTTGGTGCTCATGTCCTTTTCATAACTAAAGCAACTGTGTTAGACTACAAGTAATTAAGCCAAAAATCACCATGTTAATAAGTGTGGGGAGTGTGTGAGTTGTTGAAGTCTTTCTCTCTTTTTTCTTCCTAGCCAGTTTTTCAAACTGACTATTCTTTTCTTTTTAATGGTTATTTATTTAATTTTGAGAGAGGGTATATGCATGCACACATGAATGGGGGAGGGGCAGAGAGAGGGGGAGAGAGAGAATCCTAAGCAGGCTCTTTGCTGTCAGCATGGACACTTACGAACTGTGAGATCATGACCTGAGCTGAAATCAAGAGTCCAACACTTAACTGACTGAGCCAACCAGGTGTCCTCAAATTGAGTATTCTTTTGGTGATTAAGAATCCATACTCTTCATCTGCAGAGATTGACACTGCCCCCATGTAGGCAGTGGAGCTCAGTTGGCCTCTATGCCTTCTCTGTATGTCTGTTGCAGCCAATAGAGCACAGACAGGCATGCATGACTAGGTTGTTTCCAAAGATCATGTCTTAGAGCCATCACACTTTGAGAGGCTTATTTGGGGTTCATTTCCTTTATGTTAATTTAAGGGTAAAGTTATTTCTCACGTGAGACATTTATTGTATCTGTTGGACTAGACCCTCGCGGGGGATGGCACTGAGCTATTGACCCCTAGAAGTCACCAGGTTGGCAACACCACATAATTAATGGCCTGAGGTGGGGAAGCACTTTCAGGGGTTGATTACCAGGAGGAAGAAACCAGGGGATTTCATCTAGAATTGGACACAGCTCTATGAGGGGACACCACCAACAGCCCTTGGCCTGTGCAAGGATGGAGATCTGCTGCCCAAAGAAAAGAAGAGGACGGTGCAGATGTCCCCACCTTCCCCAGGGACCCACACCTGAACTGGTTTGAGGCCATCTAGTTCCCGAAAGTGAATTTCAACACTAACATGTTAGTCAGAGGTGAAGTTGGCCAATGCTTACTCTTCATAGTTAGCTTGTTGATTTTCCTGTCATGAAAGATCATTACACCTATAAAACAGTATTTGGCATCGGCACACAAAAGATACCATCTCTCTTCTCAGTGTTCATAATAGGCTGGAGTACCTGCTGTCCAGGGCCATTTGATGGTTGAAGGAGATAAAGCACATGAAAACCTTCTTTAATCTACAAAGCATGATACCGATATAAGGTGCTTATGGAAAAATCCCAACATTGACATTTTATGATCAGGGTGACCTGAGATTCATTTCTCTATTTTTTTCCCTCAAAATGCAAAGGTTCTTGGTGTTTCTGTTTCTCTTTTAATGTTCTATGTTACTCGGTTTACCCAAGTCAATGTTCTTAGTAATCAGTAATTGATTTGACCCAGTCTTAACCAAATGTTTTTGAAATGTTCTAGTTGGTTATTAGTACATGAGTATATTCATGTAGAGAAAGTGGTTGGATTGTCAGCCCTGGTATTCACCCAGAATGCATCTGCACAGGTGCACTAGACTAGAGAATTCATGAATCAATCAGCATGTGGTTTGCCACATCAGAGGGACACACTGAAGACTAGAGCTGCGGATATAAATGAGAGCAAACCTTGGTCACCAATGTCTAGTAGCCCCCTGTCAGTTTGTCATAATCAGTGTCGTGGAGAGCACTTCCTTGTAAACTTTCATGCACACTGGAATCACCTGGAATCTTATTAGAATGCAGACTCTGATTTGGGGGGTCTGGGGCAGCACCTGATGGTCTGTGTTTCCAACTGTCTCTAGGTGGTGAGACCAATGCTGCTGGTCCTACAACTGCATTTTGAGTAGCAAAGAGCTAGAGGAAATAATAATTATTAATTATTACTTATTAAGTACGATTATAATTTCAGGGGCTTTCTATATCTGTGCTAGGGACCATATATACATTATTTCTAATCCTCATGGGAACACTGAAATTAGGATCATGAAGACACCATGGCTCAGAGAGTGAGATACTTGTCTACAATCAGTCATTCAATAAATATGTAGCAAATATTGGATTTGAACCCAGGCCTGCCTTGATGCTAGAGCCCACATTTTGCCACTGTATGGCACAGCTCCACAGACTTTGGGATCCAGTGCACCCGGGTTGCTTAATTCCACATTAGCTCTGTGAGTGGGTGCAGGGACCTCCCCCTCTGTGCTCTCCTGTGCTCCTGATCCATGGAATGGGGGATATCAGAGCTTCTTCCAATGGCCTGTGTGGGTCCCACATGAGTTACAGTGCTTGGTGCACTGGAGGTGCTCAATAAAGTTAGTCTCCTGCCGTTTAGAAATACAACATATAGAGCAAGAGTCAAAAGTAGATTACGTGTGTACTAAAACTCTTGGGTGAAACATTTATACCTAAGATGGCTTTATTTTCTCTGTTATACAAGTTTTAGAATTAGGGTTCCTTTCCTTAATGAGAGGGAAGTGACCCTGTGGGGAGGGGGGATGGTGGTGAGATGCTATGTTATACCCTTAGCTGGTACAGTGGAAGAGGGCTCTAATTTTCCAGGAGATCAAAGTCTAAGACTACCCATTAGGCAATGACAGGTGTGGCTTCCTGTCATAGATGCCATTAAGAAAAACCAAAACCAGCCATGTGATGTTTAGGCTCCAGGTACTGGATTGGGTAAGGTGAAATGCTTAAGGTAAACATAGGTTGGTTTCGTCATATGTGTCTTTCCCCAAATTGTCTCAAGAAAGAAGATTTTAATAAGTTTGTATAGCCGTGGAAACATATATTTATATGCTGCTTTGACATTACAAAGTTCTGCTTCCCATTAATCTTCATTTAAGATTATAATCTGAGTCATCACCTCTCCGGGGTCAGGCAGCAGCTATAACAAACACTGCCATCCCCTGAGGCTCTGCCTGCTTCATCCATGACAGATGCAAGTGAACAAGTAGAAGAAGGTACTCGCAACATTTGGAGGCAGACGGTAGGGTCCTTGGAAGCAGGGGGTGACCCATCCTTGACACCTCGGGAAAGAGCAGCCTCCTGACTGCCAATTACTAGTATTTATGTGAGCAGTATATTACAGCCCATGCCAAGAATCACATTCTATTCATATTTTGCTCTTTTCATTGACCTTACTAATTTGTTATTCATTGTCAACAGCTTCAGGGGTTTCCAAAATTCTCAAGTCATCCAGATTTAATCTGATTCAGTTAGAATGTTGCCTAATCTTACGGTAAACAACTTGTTGTTTGGGATAGTTATTCTCTTCAATGGAGATTTTCACAACATCTTGAGCAGACAAAATACAGGCAGAAACTCCAGGTTTTGTCCCTCACTTACTCCACCCTAGGCATCATGGCCTCCTTGCTATTCTTCATGCATGCCAGACCCTCTCCCAGGGCCTGGAAAGTTCTTTCAGCTCCTTCCTGTTGGGCCTGTTAGTCTGTGATGTTGAATGCGTGGTCTACACACGGTGCCGTGCTGCTTGAGGGCAGGGTTGTTCCATGAAGTCCTTTAGATTTGCTTCCCTACTCAACGCTTGGTGCAGGGGCAGCAGCAGCAACATTGCCTGGGAGCATGGCGGAAATGCCGAACTTCTGGCCTCACCCAGACCTCCTGAATCAGAGTGTGCAGTCAAACGAGACTCCGAGGGATTCACGTGTGCATGTTACAGATAGGGAAGCACTACCTTAAAACACAAGAGGAAGTTTTGTCTTCAGCACAGAAAGCAGGTTGCATGGACTCTAGCTAGAAGATGTCAAAGTAAAACCAACCAATGGTGGTTGAAAAACTGCCCTGTGTAAGGACTTGGAATAATAAATCATGGTTTAGGATGACACATTCCTGCCCAATGAATTGGGGCCCAGTATTCAGAACATGTAACAAGTTAGTGTATAATGTTTTACATGTATGTATGTAAGATCCACCAGTGTAGCGATTCTGATATTAACACTAGATACATTTCAGCCACCCAGGAAGGAAATTTGGTCCTCGCTACAGATACTGAAACCAGGCAGCCTTATCTCTCAGCCTGTCCTGACTGTGTTACTACAGGAAAGAATAGTCATCTTGCAGTCCTGTCACCAGTAAAGACAAGTTCTGGTTAGGTATGAGGTATGATGTAGCGTCTACTTAGGATGTTTCAGTCTAAGCCAAAACATCTCTAGGATGGAAATGCTAGAGATAGAAAGCAGACATGTAATTACAAATACTCTCTTTTTGAAAAACCAGGGACGTTTTGCCGTTCACCTTGAAGTTGCCTTACGCCATTTCAACAGCCAAGACGGAGGCTCAACTTGAAGAACTAGCCCAACTGGGACTAAGTAAGTGGGTCCCCCTGCCCAGGTCTCTCTTGGAATGAATCTATGAAACACAGTCAGTGTTAGGCTGGCTGATGATACATTGTTGAAAAATAATCCCTATCTCCATGGCAAAACTTGGCCCTGAATCACACCTGCTGAGATTCTTTTTTCTAAGTCAGACATTTTACTGACTCTCAGAGGGGAGCGCTCAGTTTATCTGGGTAACCCCCACACCTCCCCAGCAGCTCCCATCAATGAGTTTCAGCTACCCTAAGTGTCCCAGTCCTAATGGAACATAAACTTCTCAAATGGGTCATGTCTTTCCTTTCTGTGGCATCTTGCTGGGGAAAGGCTGTGCTTGACAGAAAAGGAAATAGCACAGTACATCTCACGTGCATGAGTTTTGTTCCGGAGAAACACACGGGCATTGACGGCACGTCTGTGCTTTGAGGAATTTGACCGTGCAGACATCTAGACTAACATCTGTCTCACTTCCTCTCTTGTTCAATTTTGGTCCTGGTGTTCTGGGCCATGTCCCTTATCCTGCCATGCATCCTTGCCCTGGCCAGCTGGACACTTGCTTCCCCCTCCTGCCCCTTTGCCAATGCCCCTGAACACAATACCGTGCTTCTGGACAGTGGTTGATGATGGATCAGGATGTACAGTTCACCCAGTTTCACTTCCTCGTCCTATTGCCATGAGGAATTTGTGTGGGTTTAACTTTTGCCAAAAAAAAAAAAAAAAAAAAAGTTTTCCCCCTAGATTGGAAGGGGAAATTCTCTTAAGATTTTAGGGCGTCAGTCTTCCAAAAGATTGACAACCAGGCCATAATATTTGAATGGAAATTTGAGATTCCGAAATGCAACTCCTGGGACTCCTGGAGCCTATGAGGAGCCTGGAGGGAGACTCAGATTCCCTTCTCAAACTCAGATTCTTTTGAAAGAATTGCTACATGTGTCTGAGGCCTGTCTGATGTGTCCCTTCTGAAAAGTTACACCATCTCTTGCAATGGTGTTTCACACACCTTTTGGAGAGGGTTTAAAACTTTTCCCGAATTTCAGTTAATATAACCAGCTAGACTGTAAGCCTCTTGAAGACCTGTACCAGGTGTCAGTTTCCGCTGGTGACCTCCACCCACTTAACTCCTGGTGCTGTGGTCAGTGTGCAGAGTATACTTTGTGGCAGGCCTGAAGGACTGAAGTATCCTGGTCAGCTTCCTGCACAGACAAATTTAAGAACACCTTGTTCCATGGCCACTGACCATAGAAGCAAATGATGTCCAATTAATATATACTCAATTCGTAACAGCCAATGTATACATTATTCATTTTGGGAAGAGACAGCACTTTGTAAAACTCTGTGCCTCATTTATTTGTTCTTCCAACAAATGTTTCTGGAGGATCTGCTATGTGGCAGGCCAGGCTCCACACTGAGGGGTCAAAGGTTAATAGTGTCCATAGCTGCCCTTCCCCACTACCCAGGTTTATAGTCCATGTGGAAGCTAAGTGTACTATGCCTTATAAAGTCTACCAGTGGTGTCAGTAGAAGCCTAAGAAGGACCCAAAGGTGGTGGAAACCATTCCACCAAGACCCAAACTGGGCAATAGAAGTGCATATAAGGTGAGCCAATGAGTAATTTAAAAATTTCTAGTAGCTCTGTTAAAGACAATGAAAAAGACACAGGTGAAAATTAATTTTTATAATTTATTTTAGTTAATGTAATATATATGAAATGTCACTTCAACATAGAATCAATATACTTTACAAGTATTAATGAGATATTTTACATTCCTTTTTTTCATACTAAATGTTTGAATCCAGCCTGTGTTATCCTTATATCTTTTGGGGCATTAAATTTTCATCAGAAACACACAATCTGTATTTAGAGCTGATTAAATTTATAGTTGAGAAACTGCATTCACATACCCAAGTTCCAAAACGATTGAACAGTTTTCCAGTGATTGAATTGCATGTCTGTTTTGAAACTTAAATGGACTGACGTGATTTAAAATTGAAGTCCTCTGTCACGTTGGCTCACTAGCCACAGGTGACCATTGGCTCTTGCGCTGGATGACACAGAGCAAAGAGGAGAGGAAGGGCAGGTGACTGGGCCACAATATCAAGCATGTTTATAACAGAGAGGGCAGGGCAAAGGCTCCCAACGTCAGCCTCCTCGCTGTCCGCCATGATCAGCCATTCTGGGCCCGTAGGGAAAAAAGAATACATTTTAGGCAAACACCACAAGGCAGAGCTATAGAGAGAGAATAAACCTGTTCCAAATGGAAATTAGCAGTAGATAACATTTATCACCACCACTGCCTCCCTGGATTCATGCAGAAAACTGAGCCCCGTGTGTAGGTGACATGGGCCATACAGACAGCTGCAGTAAGCCATGTGCGCTGTGCCAAAGAGTGTTGGGTGTGTAAGCCACGGTGAGAAGGGCTAGGATTTGCAGAGTACGGGCAGCTAACCGCTAAGATAAACGGTTGAACTTGCACTTAGCATTTGCATCGGCCTGCTGTCCTTTTTTTTTCTGCTGATGGGTTCCATGAGTGTATTTTTCCTCTGTTTGGGGTTTTAATGCTGAACGTGTAAAACCCTAAGCAGATTGTGTAACATCCCCCAGGCCCAGCTGCTGGTCCTGCCCATTAAAGGGGAACTGCCAGGTCCTCCATGGAGGGCACCTCCAGGAGAAGTAGATTGGGAAGGGTGGCTTGCTTTGCGAGGAGACTCAGTTTTTGTTAAGCGTGTCCGGGAGCTCCGTGGTCCTTTCCAGGCTTACACTGTAACAATTCCAATTCTTTCTTTCCTTACCTGTGCAAAGGCTGGGCTGGCTTTGTATGTTGGCCAAGCCATTTCTCAAGGGCTTTGAAGGTGAAAAGCCCCTTGAGCCTTCCTGTGAGCCCACAGCTGGGCCTGGCAGCATTTCCACCCTTTCCAGTAAAGGGAATGCAGTCCAAGCAAAAAAGAAAAAGAAAAAAAAACACTCAAGTGTGGCACCTCCCCCTTGAAAGACGTGTGTTGTCATGCAAGTGTGCTTTTTTTAATTTGTGAAGGAATGGCCCAAGAGTACTGTATTTACATTCTTGTGTTCACTGATAATGACTTTCAGATTTTTGGAGCTCTCCAGCTGACAACAAACCCCCAAACCCTCCACCTCCCCATAGGCCTCTCTCCTCAGACGGTGTTTGTCCTGCCTCTCGTCAGCTCTGCCTTATAAATGGAGTGCATTCTATAAAAACCAGGACGCCTTCGGAGCTGGAGTGCAGCCAGACCAACGGAGCCCTGTGTTTTATTAATCCTCTTTTCTTGAAAGTGCACAGCCAGGACCTCAGTGGAGGCCTGAAACGGCCCTGCACAAGGACTCCCAACGCGAATGGCACCGAGAGGCCTCGGTCCCCCCCACCCAGGCCCCCGCCACCCGCTATTAATAGTCTCCACACAAGCCCTCAGCTGTCCAGGACTGAAACCCAGGCGAGCATGCCAGAAACAGTCAACCATAACAAACATGGGAACGTAGCTCTGCTTGGAACGAAACCAACCCCCATCCCTCCACCCCGGCTGAAGAAGCAGGCTTCTTTTCTCGAGGCAGAAGGCAGCGCAAAGACCTTGACCGGCGGCCGGCCTCGTCCTGGCCAGGAGCGGGAGCCGGAGGAGCCCGGGCCGGGCACAGCTGGCGGGCCAGGTGGGGCCCCGCCTGCGGAGCCTCCGGAGGATTGCACAAGGGCCGCCGGCCCTGAATCACGGCCCCCGTGGCATGGAGGCAGACAGAGGCTGAGCGACATGAGCATTTCCACTTCCTCCTCCGACTCGCTGGAGTTCGACCGCAGCATGCCCCTGTTTGGCTATGAGGCGGACACCAACAGCAGCCTGGAGGACTGCGAAGAGGAGAGCGACCAGGAGACCATGGCCCCCCCTGTCAAGTCCAAAAAGAAGAGGAACAGCTCCTTCGTGCTGCCCAAGCTCGTCAAGTCCCAGCTGCGCAAGATGAGCGGGGTGTTCAGCTCCTTCATGACCCCCGAGAAGCGCATGGTCAGGAGGATCGCCGAGCTGTCCCGGGACAAGTGCACCTATTTCGGCTGCCTGGTGCAGGACTACGTGAGCTTTCTGCAGGAGAACAAGGAGTGCCACGTGTCCAGCACGGACATGCTGCAGACCATCCGGCAGTTCATGACCCAGGTGAAGAACTATCTGTCTCAGAGCTCAGAGCTGGACCCCCCCATCGAGTCGCTGATCCCCGAAGACCAAATCGGTAAGTCCCCACTTTGCCTTTTTTTTTTTCTTTTTAAACATAAAAACTACTGTAACCTCACAGGACACTGTATCCGATGGCAGTGATCTTGGATGAAGTTTTCTCTGGAGTTCAAAACAACATACTCCACCCCCTCCACCCATTTGAATGGGACCTGAGCTTCTCAAAGCAGACCTCACCTTATACCTGACTCCTGCTACCTGCCTGCTAGTTTTCAAGGAGCCCCTGATGGGAACCTCAGAGCGGTTCTGCTCAGGGGTAGAATTTGCCTTCCGAGGGTCCGATTGCCCACCTTGTCTTGTGCTGTGTGTGCTGAGTGTTTCCTGAAAGGGCATCTCTGCAGGCAGTGCATGCCTGGAAAGGTATGTGTGCTGTCTTCTGACAGAGTGTTTTCTTCTGCTTTGTTTGGGTAGTACACTTTTCATTGAGGTACAGTGTATGTTCAGAAGAGTGCAGACATCACGGGTGTGCAGCTGGAGGAGTGTCCACAGTGAACACACCTTGTGACAAGTGAGAGCTCAGTAAGCACGACAGAACCCACAACCAGAAGCCCCCCTGGGACCACCACCCTATCACCCTTCTCCCAAAAGGGTAACCGCCTTGCTGGCTTCTGATGCCAGCGAATTCCTTAAGTGGCACGGTTTGGGAGTAACTTAAAAAAAAAAAAAAAGACAAGTTTGTGTACCTTTCAAATAAGTAACATATTTGGAGGTCACATGAAAGGTGTTTTCTCCGAAGTCAAGGGGAAATATTTTCTTTATAACCTCATCGAAGGGCTGAATTGTTAATAGTTACTTTGGCCAAGAAAAATTTGAATTTGGCAAGGCATCTTTTTTCCAGGGTAAGAGTGTTGCAAGGATTTTTTTTTTTCTTTATTAATTTCAGAAGATTCTTTCTAAAGGGCTAATTTCAGTGTGGCTTGTTCACTGGGCAGCCACAGCTGAAAGAGCTACCAAATTATTTCCAGGCAGTTCATAAAGCTAAACCCAGATTTCTTCTTTCTGATTGGGTCTGTTTGTTGAAAGTAGTAAACAGTATGTGGTAGAGAGTGGACTCTGTCTCTGTCTCTGTCTCTGTCTCTTTCTCCTTTAAGTGAGTTTCAGCAGCTCTTTGATTTTCTCACAAAGGAATCAAAGCCTTGTTTGTTTTCTCGGGGTTTGAGCCTGGTTGATGGGGCGGGGTTAGAGCTGGGTGTTGCTGAGGAGAGAGTCTGGAAGGAATGTGCCCTTGTGGTGTGCTTGGAACTGAAAAAGGTTTCTAGGGGAAGGCAGAATAGCCACCCAGGCCATCCTGTCCCATCCCACCAGAGCCCACCTCTCAGGGGAGACCAGTTCAGATGCAATATTAACAGGGACTCTGAACCTTCATGAGAAGCTTCCTCTGGGGGTGTCCGGTGGGGGGAGCCAGGCAGGCGCTGATGTCAGCCCTGAGTTATGTGGCCCCAGCGCCAACCAGCCCACAGAGACAAGGCTCCCCAGGGAACAAGGGCCATCCCTTCCTTCCCTTCCTCTCTTTCCTTCCCCGCTGAGATTGTAAGCACCAACCAAAGTACTGGTCCCCAGTGGCTTCTTTTGAAGTGAAGTTCGGATATGATATTTGCTCCCAGAGCACAAGCGTTCATTTTCTCCAAAAACAAACATACACTTTGCTGCTCTGAACAGATGCAGCTTTTAATTTAAAATCTAAAGTCATGACAAGAAGGGATGTTGACATCTATGGAGGCTCTAATAGGAGCCAGGATTCTGTCCAAGTGATGTAAGCGTGTCCTGACCTCGCCCTAGTGAAACAGGCACCAGCATCCCCTGTGGAGTGGAGAATGCAGGACTTTGCCAGGTGGAGCCCTTTGTCCCAGGGGCCACACCAGCTAGTAACCAGCAGGTGCAGCATTTGGAAGAGTAGGCTAGCCCTTTGTTGAGGCAGCTCAGACTAAAATTTTGTATGGAGGTGTGGGTGTGGCCAACTAAGCATTGCCCCACTTTTTTATTGGCTTGTTTGTTTTGGTTTTTTAAACTTTTGCATTAAAGCAGGAACTTCATCACATGTTGCTTCCCCAATGAAAGCATCATTCAGTTTTGAAAGTACAATAAATGTGTTGTTGGGCTTTTAAAATTAAGAGAAAGGTAAACCAGAGCAGAGGTTAACCTGAGAAACTCAACACTAGTTCAAATGCAGAGAAAGAGGTGACCCTAAGAATCAGAAAACTGATCCCTTTAAATGTGTAAGTTACTAGTTTAGGACTCTGACAAAAAAGTGGACTTATCTAATTGTCTGTTTTACATAGTCATAAAGGAAGTGCTCATTGGTTTACTATAGACTTGTTAATATAATCACTCCTTTGAGCCTTGTAACCAAATCAAGGTTGGTACATTTATGTAGATATTGTTCATGTTTTGCAAATTCAAGAGCAGAGGCCATGATGTAAAAAGTGACTTGTAGTGACTGCTGGTAAGTAGGGTAGCTTGGATTCAACCCAGATCTTTCCTCCATTGTTTGCTTATTCCCACCATATCTCACTTTCTGGAGGGAAGTAATTCACTGTTAATGTATTTACTCCAAATGGATTCACTCTCAATGCCATCTCTGGAATACCAAGCCTCAAGATTGTTCTGAACAGGTGTCTACTAACACTGCTAAGGCTTTTCAAGAATGCCAGTCTGGTCCTGTCCTCCTTTCCCACAACTTCTGAAGATGATAGCTCTGAACTAGGAGGTGAGAATTTACATTTAAAACCTGCATTTACAGAATGACCATCCCAGAATCAAGGAAGCTGGAGGAGGCATTTCACTGGCTTAACCCATGTAGAATTAGAGCTGTCGTTCATATGTGAAAAATGGCCATACGAATGCATGCATGTATACACGTAGTATATGGAGATGTTGCTAATCTCTCTTCTTCAAAGAGTGGTTCTTCAGTTGCCTAGAGAAAAGCCAAGGAAGACACTAAGTAGCTCTCACCCAGTGCCACTTTATCCATATACTCTTGTCCCAACCCTTTAAGTCAGCACTTTCTAGATAAGGATAAAATGATAAATAAGTCAGTCTCAAAACACACACACACACACACACACACACACACACACACACACACACACAACCTGCCACTCTAAATGCTTGTGTCCTATTGTGGAAAAGTTGCATCCTGTTTAGACTACTCTTTAAAGTACTCTCACCCAAAAGCCCTGACTTTTAGAGGTTCTTTGATAAATACTGGTTGATTAACATCAGCTTCGCTCTCCTGGTTGGAGAACGAAGCCAATGAGGGGGAGACGTGGTGGGCTCCCAGGGAAGTCAGGTCTCTGTTCATTCCAGGGCCACATATGGTTTCCCTTCTGGATAGCTCTCCACTCACCCTCACTCCCCCACCCCCACAAAGCGGTACATGAAAGGACAAACAGATGCTTTAACAAAAAGTGCACATAGTTTCAGGTCTTACTAGAAAGCCCTGGGATCAGTAACTTCATTGACAGTGAGATATACTCATTACTGGTGTGTCAAGTGTAGATAGGGTATAACATTACTCATTGCTCCAACATGTGTTCCTCATTGGTGAGCTCCCACATGGTACCACTCTTGCTTCAGTCGTTTTCAACCAATGGGAGAGATTAGTTCAGAATTTCTGATCGTGAAATCTCCACTCTGCAGAACTTGGTGCATTTTTGTGGTTAGCATTTTGATTTTATTCAAGTAGAAGAACTTTTATATCTGATTTGACGTTAATCTTGGGAAAGCCCTCTGTTTTCAAGTTTTGTGTCAAGAAAAACAAAGTGTGTCCAACTCCAAAAATCTCAGTAATCCCAAATTTGTTATTTCATTCAAACAACCCACCACCAACTGTCAACAACAAAACCCCAATAACAAAAAAAAAAAAAAAAAAAAAAAAAAAAAAAAAAAAAAACCAGGACAATAATGGTTATGCTTTATTTAATTGCTATATAGTAAAACATGTATTTTCTCTAAAGAGCATTTTAATTGTTTGAAGAAAAAGTATCTTTAAATTCAATTTATATTCATGTGATTTTTTTTAAATAGAGAAACAATACTGAAAAGTGAGCATAGCAGAATAAGAAAGGGGGTTTGAAGTAACTCTCTAGGAGTTAAACAATTACAACTACTTTGCTTCATGAATCTGTCTCAAGCTTCAATGTCTAGTGTGATTTGTTTTTTAATTTTTATTTTGTTTAATTATTTATTTTGAGAGAGACAGAGATAGTGAATGGGGAGGGGCAGAGAGAGAGAGAGAGAGAGAGAGAGAGAGAGAGAGAGAATCCCAAGCAGGCTCCACACTGTCAGTGCAGAGCCTGATGTGAGACTTGAACTCATGAACCATGAGGTTATGACCTGAGCTGAAACCAAGAGTTGGATGCTTAACCAACTGAGCCACCCAGGTGCCTCTTGTTTTTTTAATTTTTAATTCACAGTTTGGTTCAAGCCCTTGAGTTATTATCTGCTCTTTTTAATTTTTTAATTTTAATTCTTATGCTTTTATTTTAGAGAGGGAAAGCACAAGTGAGGGAGAGGGGCAAAGGAAGAGAGAGAGAATCCTAAGCAGGCTCCCCCTTATCATGGAGCCAGACACGATGCTCAATCCCACGACCCTGGGATCATGACCTGAGTCAAAATCAAGAACCAGATGCTCAACTGACGGAGCCACCCAGGTGCCCCTCTTTTTCAGTTGAAGAGCCACCAGAGTGGCATATTGATGCCAAGTTGATTAGAACCTCAAGTCTGACTTCTGATCTAGAACATGTGACCATATCTCCTGCATGGAGTGAATGTCCTTACACAGTTAGCAAAGGGTAGAGAGAAAGGAGAAAGATTGACCTCTTGCAACATGTAAAAAGAATGTCTGTATTAGTTTTGAAAATTAGTTTAAATGTAAGACCCCAGCAGGAAGTACCTCTTTTTTTCCATGGGGCATATTTTGTTGTACATTTTTACCTTAGGGCATCGAAAATTGGGTTAATTATATCAACTAAAAGAAGGGTCACAACTCTGGAGTTA